ATATATATATATATATATTTTGTTTTACTTTAACTTCCTCACACAAATATTTCGAAAAATATGAAAGAACATTTTGTACAAAAGTTTTATAACTTTAAGGGGAACATAAAACAGTGTCATTGATTTGACTTTGGAAGCCTTGGATTGCATTATCAAAGTCAAAACAAGTTTATTTTGAATTTTTCAAATGGAAGCCTTTTGCATATTACATATTCTTATAGCTTACTTTGAGAGCGTGTTTTTTTCAAAACACTATAACGAAACTCTTTTGATTAAATATTTTTCGAGATATTAGTTGACAAAATTCATGTATTGCCGATATTAACATTATCCAAGGTGTCCGATTAATGACTGAAACTCTTGAATGTTGTTTAGAGTTATGATCTTAATAACATTTATCAAGATGAAGTCTATTGGAAGTTATTCCATTTTATTTCCTTTTATAACATTAAAAAGGAGTTTCACTATAGTGTTTTGAAAAATTCTCGAGATAAGCTACAAGAATATGTAAATAATAAAATAGAGGGATTCCATTCAAAAAATTCAAAGTGATCTTGCTCTGACCTTGACAACGCCTGCACCCAAGTCACATCAATGATATCATCGTCTGTCCTTCTCAATGTCATAAAACTTAAATACGAAACATAATTTTTTTATATCTTGCGTATTTTTCGAAATATTTGCTTGGAAAAATTAAAATGAAATACCCAATATAATGCTGTTCGTTCTGATTAAACGTATCTCGTAGCGAGTGTCTTAGGAATATTATCACACGCGTTCTATGGTCATTTATATTATTTTTCGTATGAGACTATGTTGAGATTATGTTGAACTATATATAACACACTATACACGCCCGGACACATATGTATGCATGCATGCACATACACACGCGTATACATCTGCAAATTATATTCGATCTATATCTATTGTTACTTCGAAAGAATCAAATGTATTGTATTTCAATAGAAAATGAATTAACATTGCATTTTATAATTATCGATATATGTTGATATGTGATTGTACGTAATTTTATGAAGATTGATCATTTAACTTATGCGTGGAACAATGCGATATCTTTTATGTCATTTCTG